CCTTTCTCAGCCTTATTTTCTTTTCACTTCAGAATTGTTGGAAACCCTTTAATTTGTGGAGTAAAGTCTGAGAACTGTTCTGCAGTCTTTCCAGAGCCACTATCCTTCCCACCTGATGCTCTAAAAGGTATATTTGCACGTTTGGTTTATGTTCCTTCCTTTAGTCTTCCTTGTGACACTGGTGATTCATGAATTTTGCTTTCTTAGAATCAGACTCTGGAACAAAACGCCACCACATGACTATTGTCCTCGGTGCAAGCTTCAGTGCTGCCTTTGGTGTCATAATAATTATTGGGTTACTTGTTTGGCTGCGATATAGACACAACCAGCAGATATTCTTCGATGTCAATGGTAAGTTTTCTTATATGTAATTTTCCTGCTTTTCTAGATTGCAATACTAGTATCTCAGATAGCTTAACATCTTGATAGGGGTGCTTGAATTTTAGGTGGTATGGTTCCGATTCGTCCTTTTATTACTTACCTTAAGGGCCACACTGCCCCAACTCTTTAATAATGGTGCAAGTCTGAGTGTGTGAATGTTTCAATCAGTAATCTTTCAGATTTCAGCTTTTGATATTTTGGTAAAATGTGGTAACATTCATTAGAAATGAATAGTTCAGAAAATTCCAAATCCAAGGGCTTGTTCTCTCTTCAATTTTTTCTATCCAAACACAACAAAAAAGATTTTGTACGTAAAAAACGCAAGAGTCAATTTGGTCATATAAAGATTGTTAGCACATGATGGTAATAGGAGATAATAATAATAATAATCATAATAATAAGATTCTCAATACTTGGGAGCAGCCTCTCCATAAATGGGGGTAAGGCTAGCCGACGTTCACCTCTCCCAGACCCTGCGTAAAGCGGGAGCCTTGTGCACTGGATCAAGAACAAAATAAGATTCTCAATACATGACTAAAATCTAAATCATGAATAACCCTTTCCTTTTGTAGTTAGGTAATCTTAGGGAAAGTGTTTTGAGTCGTTGAACCTTCTCTTTCGGTGAACCCTTAGGATTTGAATTGTACTTTGAGAATTTCTTGATATTGTTTCATGCAACCAGTGATACTCTTTTTCCCCGCCAACGATAATCCATGAATTCTTAATCTGGTGGATTGTGCAGCAGATCAGTATGACCCAGAAGTGTGCTTGGGGCATTTGAAGAGGTATACATTTAAGGAGCTCTGGGCAGCAACAGACCATTTCAACTCAAAGAACATTCTAGGTAGGGGTGGTTTTGGGATTGTATACAAAGGAAGCTTGAGCGACGGGACTCTGGTTGCAGTTAAAAGGCTGAAGGACTACAGCACCACTGGTGGTGAGATCCAATTTCAAACAGAGGTTGAGATGATTAGTTTGGCTATCCATCGGAATCTTCTGAGGCTTTGCGGGTTCTGTTCAACCGAGAACGAAAGACTTCTTGTTTACCCTTTTATGCCTAACGGAAGTGTAGCCTCTCGATTAAGAGGTTAGCATGTTGTTTTAATTCTGCTTGCTGTTATGTCACCCTCTAATCAGAACCTAGCATCCTATAATCTCATCTCCAGTCCAACGCCCGGTACTTCCAAAACTAAGCTGCAAAACGATATAAAAAATTACTTTATTCAACCTAACATGTTGATAATGATTCAACTAATATAAACCGTTTATTATTGTCCAGCATTTCATTGATCGCAACCATTTGTGTTCCTTGTTATCTGTTCAATTTGAGAGTATTCTTGTAGCGCTAAGTTGACAATATTCAAATCTGACATGCGACTGTTGCTAAATCCCTTTTTTGCATTCTGTGTGTTTTTCCCCAGATCATATACATGGTCGACCAGCTCTAGACTGGGCAAGGCGAAAGAGAATAGCCTTAGGTACAGCCAGGGGTTTGGTTTATTTGCATGAGCAGTGTGACCCAAGAATTATCCACCGTGATGTTAAAGCCGCAAACATTTTGCTCGATGAAGACTTCGAGGCAGTTGTTGGAGATTTTGGGTTGGCAAAGCTTTTGGATCACAGAGAATCTCATGTGACCACAGCTGTCCGCGGCACTGTTGGTCACATCGCTCCAGAATACTTGTCAACTGGTCAGTCATCAGATAAAACTGATGTGTTCGGGTTTGGGATCTTACTCCTGGAGTTAATCACAGGTCAAAAGGCTTTGGACTTTGGACGAGTTGCAAACCAGAAGGGTGTAATGCTTGATTGGGTACGCTATCTCTCCCTTTCGCTCTCTCACACAGACATGCATGCTCATATGTAATATTTACCTAATTGCATGTATGAAATAACTGTGATCTCAATGTAATGTTTGATTGGGTAACACTCTCTCTCCCTTTCAAACCACGTATTAACACGTGGCCGTTGGCGTTCCCTCCTGTTTCTGTCCTGATGGTACATACATGTGATCCTTAGAGCGTTGCTAGAAGTGTCAAGAAACTTGGCTTGTTACATGAAATATTAATGTGTTACTTGCATAACTGCATTAACGCAGAGTTGGTTTTTTCACTGCTGATATACGTGTGAGAAAATACCATGCACTACAAAGAAAAATGTCTTTCAACAACTCACATGGTTGTGCAACACAAATGCAGGTGAAGAAGCTCCATCAGGAGGGAAAGCTAAATCTCATGGTGGATAAGGATCTGAAGGGGAATATCGACAGGGTTGAACTGGAAGAAATGGTTCAGGTTGCCTTGTTATGTACTCAATTTAATCCCTTGTACCGACCAAAAATGTCAGAAGTATTAAAGATGTTGGAAGGTGATGGCTTAGCCGAGAAATGGGAGGCCTCGCAGAAGGTGGAGACACCGAGGTTCCGGTCGTGTGAACACCCGCGTCAAAGATATTCAGATTTTATAGAAGAATCTTCGCTTGTGGTAGAAGCTATGGAGCTTTCTGGCCCTAGGTGACAACCTTTTTTCAAAATTTTCCCCTGTATACCATACCTCCTCTCTTCGTTAAGTTAATTTAAGTTTGAAATATCAGAAATATGTGATTGTATTCATCTGTAAAAATGAGAAAGAAAAGTCCATGTAAAAGCTGCTTTTTTTTTATCGCTTTTTCTTTTTCTTTGTTGGAAAATCAATTGAGTTGATTGAGGTTTCTGTCAAAGAGATTTTGGAGTCATTTCAGAAATTTGTATGTAGTTGCTTTTGTTCTAGTTTTATTAATATTTGAGATTCATAAAACAGAAAACCATAGCAGGCTTTCGGTTGTTGTTTCTTTGGGTTCATGTAGGTCTGTGTTACTTAGTATGTTAAATCAATAACGTAATGTTGTTTCACTTCTCTCACGTGGTAGTGCCTTGTTAAATTGGAAGATGAGAAATGCTAGTGAGCTTTTTTCAAAATTGGAACTTTTCATGGACTCTTCTTCGGTCTATGTTTTTTGGCACATTATCTTATACGTTAAACTACGAGTTAACATAAAGTTCATGGAGAGTCCCCTTAACATTTCTCTTGGAATACTATCCCAGTGGCACAGATAGGTATTCTTCCGATTGTAAGAGATGGTATCCAAGATTTTCAAACCAACGGACTAGGATGCTCTTTCCTCCTAATTCCCTCTCCTCCCCGACCCCTGCTCTTACACTTTCTTGTTTCTCTTTCTCTCTATATAAAAAAATCAATACAAGATGTTAACACGATTTAAACGTAAACATTCAAGTCAAAAAAAGGAGGAAAGGAGAAGGAGATTAACACGAGAGAAGATCCTACTCCCAAACGAATTATGCAGAAGAATGACCCAAAGGACAATTGTGCCATAGCCTAGCAAGTAAAAGCCCATGGGCCAATGAGTTCCAAATTCCAACCCATAATTTACATAGGTTGAGTCAAATGTATCAGTAATTCAGTATCCCTTTCTTCCTACAGTTGTCGAGCTTTTCTTATCAAAGCAACTCCGCTTTTGCAAAAGAAACAACAAAGAAGCAGAAGACTCATCCAAAACCTTATTTTTCACTTGCTCCTTTTTCATTTTGCTAGCTAAATATATTATGTACACATATTTTCTGGTATGTATATCATTTATACATATGGTTACTCTTAAACACTCATTAATTAACGAAGTTACTATCAAGAGCTTGAAAAATTCGTAATGCGTTCATTATAATACACTTTTATAAGGAAGAAGTGCATAGTGATTGTTCGGTATATTAATAACATTTCTCTAAACTAAAACTTGTGTGATTGTAATGTTTTCTTGTTGGTACATAAGTAACGATATGTTTTGGTCCTTAAATGTAATATTTTAGGCAGTAAAAGTCATATTTTAGGTTTTCAAACAGTATTTTCTCTTAACCGTGCGTTGCTATATTAAATGTTGAACAAGTAATTTCCTCTCAATATGTTTTTTTGTTAATTTTTTTGAAAAAAAAATTAGGGTTTTGGGGTTTCATTAAACTGTTTCTATTACTTGTCGTTAATTAGAAAAACGAAAAATTAAATACTTTATTTAACGAACAAGAATAACGTTGGACTGGTACGAATCTTGGAGCATTGCAATGATGCAATCCATGCAGACAAAACTTGTTTCTGTGTTTCGCGTGCAGCGTGCTCCAGCCACCTGGAAGACATCACAGTCGCCGACGCACAGCTTCCCACAGACTCCACCACCACGCGTCACAATCCCAACGGATGGAGTGAACGGCAATCGCTATCAATGTTCCATGGGCCTCAGAACTCCGCCACGTGTCCTCGTATGTGTCGGCGGGAACAATCCTATATGTGTCATTCGGCAGTTAATACCAGAAAACTCAAAATTTCAAAAGCACTTCTCCCAAAGCTACCCTTCCGCTTCGTACATTAATGACGCGTTTTATTTACTCCGAAACCCTTTCCAAAATGACTAATCTGCCCACAGCTTATACGATACACCTCCAGATTCGGATGTAAATTGAGGACAAAATGAAGGGTATTTACGTCTACGAAATTAGATGTCGACGGGTATCTTTGTAATTGTATTTTTCTCGCTGTCGCTCTCTCTCTCTCCACGCCAAAGAGCAGAAGCAGCCCTTACTGTTCCAGCACTCTGCTTTTCTACGCACCGCTCCCTTATCTGTCGTTTATCTTTTTTATTTAATTTTGTGTATTTTTTCTTCCATATTTTCACAAATGTAAGGATGTCATTCCACGCTTCGTCTTGCTTATCTCCTCTCCTGATCATGCAAACGAAATTCACATTTCACTCGCATTTGCAGTAGATCCTCTGCATTGTCTTTCAGCCATGGTTTGGAAGAAGCCTGCATTTCCCGAGCAGTTTTATTCACCCAAAAGAAAGGTTATTTCTGGGTTTGGTTTAGGAATTGGAGTTTCAGTGATTGTACTCGGTGTACTGTTTTTTACCGACTTCTTTAAGACTCCTGCAGTGGAAACTTCGATTCAAGGGTTTTACAGTTTGAATTCTTCTTCTGTTTCATGGCCTTTCTCCTTTTCCAGCAGTTCAGAAACGCAGGATTTTGTGGACAAAACGCATGAAGCAAATGAGTCAATAGTTGCTGGGAAGCAAAATTTTACTGATTTGGAGAAGCCCCATTTGGGGAATTTTACAGAGGAGGGTAAGGATGGAAGCTTTGGGGTTGGAGGAGAAATGGGTAAGCAGAAAAACAGTGAGAAGGGGTCAGCAATTGCTGAAAACGGTAACTTTTTGAATTCAAATGGGGGAGGAACTAGTTTGGAGATTGCCCATTTGGGAAACTCCTCTGAGGTTTCGAAAAATGGAAGCTTGCATGGTGAGGAAGGGAGGGTTAATGGGAATCTTAGCCTGTCTGGGAAGGAAGATATGCATGCAGAGAAGGCAGTTGAAGGTAGTTTTTCAAGGAATACTAGTAGTGTGGATGGTAATGCTGCCAAAATTGTGAAGAAGAAAAGGGCTTGGAAGGCAGCGCATCGAGGAAATTCGACTGTGAAAATCGCCGACTATGATTCTCAAATGGGGAAAATGCAGACTGATTTGTATCAGAAATGTGATATTTTTAATGGTAGGTGGGTGAGAGATGATTCAAAGCCATATTATCCTGGAGGTTCTTGCCCATACATTGATAGGGATTTTAATTGTCACCTCAATGGGAGGGCAGACAGTGCTTTTATAAAATGGAAATGGCAGCCAAATGAATGTGACATCCCAAGGTAAAATCCATCTTCAATTTCTTGATGAATTTTGTGTTTTTGAGCTTAAAAGAAAACTTTAATCTAATGAATTTTGTGTTTTTAAAGAAGTGCTCTAACATTGAATATGTGAGTTATGCTCGTTGGCCTGGGCAGTGTGCCCGCCACCCGTGCACCTAAGTCCTCTTTTACTCGTAGTTTAGAGTAGTTTAGAATATCGATTCTTCTAAAAGGAAAGTGCTCTAGCATTTTTATGTAGCGGTCATTGAACTTCTGCCATGTAAATCTTCTTCTCATGCCTTTGTTTCTTACTCATGTGATCCTCAGTCTGAATGCCACTGATTTTCTGATGAGGTTGAGGGGAAAGCGGTTGGTTTTTGTGGGGGATTCACTGAATAGGAACATGTGGGAATCTCTGGTTTGTATTCTTCGTCATGTCATTCGAAACAAGAAAAGAGTTCATGAGATTTCTGGGAAGAAGGAATTTAAAAAGAAGGGCGTTTACGCATTCAGATTTGAGGCAAGTGTCATACATCTTTGTATGTTCTAAAAACAATCAATATTTGGAATGAAAATGTCTAATCATCCATGCTATTGCCGCACTTGCAGGATTATAATTGTTCAGTGGATTTCGTTGTTTCTCCATTCCTTGTTAGGGAATCATCATTCACGAGTAAAAACGGTACGTTTGAGACATTAAGGTTGGATTTGATGGACCGGACAACTTCAATGTACCATGATGCGGATGTCATAGTTTTTAACACTGGACACTGGTGGACTCATGAAAAAACATCTCGAGGGTGCGCACCGTTGTTTGCTTTCTAAATCCCTTGCAGTGTGCTACCAATCAAACTACTATCTCACTTGACTGATTTATCTCATTTTTGCATTTGGTGGTTTCACAGAGAAGATTACTACCAAGAAGGCAATCATGTGCATCCAAGACTCAAGGTTCTTGAAGCATACAAGAGGGCTCTCACCACTTGGGCCAGATGGGTTGACAAGTATATTGATGTCAACCGGACTCAGGTTTTCTTCAGAGGATATTCAGTTACCCATTTCAGGTATCGGACGATGTTTTCTCGTCACTTTGACTCACCTCTATATCGGTCTCAAACTTTTGAATGTTGTTGTTGTTGTTGGAGGAATCCCATTTTGCTCCTTTCAGGAAGTTTATATTTGTTTAGATTTCAATGAAAATGGAACTGTTTAATTTGGTTGTAGCGGAGGGCAATGGAACTCAGGCGGACAGTGCCACAAAGAAACGGAGCCAATCTTTAACGAAACTTATTTAGCGAATTACCCCTCAAAGATGAGAGCTCTAGAGCATGTACTTAAAGAAATGAAATCTCCGGTGATTTATTTAAACATAAGTAGGCTTACCGATTACCGAAAAGACGGACACCCTTCCATTTACAGAATGAAATACAAGACAGTAGAAGAACAAATTACGGCTGAGAGGTCTCAGGATTGCAGCCATTGGTGCTTGCCTGGAGTTCCAGATGCTTGGAATGAATTGCTATACGCCGCTCTTTTGAAGGCCGGATGGGGATCACGCAAAAACTGAAGAAATTTGTATGCAATCGTTTGGTATTCTTTAATCGTATCGGCTTAATTTTGTGTACTGTGAGAGTTTCTTAAGTAGCCTTTTACATGCTGATATTGGTCATCACTTTTCTTCTTTTCCTTTTTTCTTGTACACAAAATTTGGTCAACAAAAGTTTAATGAATTTTCTCAAATTGGAACAATTTGCAAATTACAGGGACAAAATTCGATTCAATACAATCGAAATAAAGAATGCATGAATGAAAGTGAAACTTTGTGAATGAGTACACGGACTATGAACATGCTTTGTCCTTGTGTAAATGTAAATTCCTGATCTAATATTTGACAACAAAAGTAGACGATTTTAGCACAAAAATCTCCATCGTGCCGGATGTATGAATTGAGCACCCGAGACGCCTTAAATGCTTGAATCATCATATACTCCAGGTTTTGAGTGGAGCTCTAAATCTTGTAGCACATAGCATGCTGCATCTTCTCTAATAACTTTCTTTAAACAAGGATGCACTTGTCCTTTAATGTTTCACTAGAACACAAGCCACACACAAAATGAGCACAATCTCTTAACAAATATACACTTCACCGTGTCTACATAAACAAAGATGAAAATTACCTTCACCGCATGATTGATAAATTGATTTGATATATAATTATACATAGCTTCTCCCAATATACCATACAAAATGAAAGATTATGGTTTTGATTAGGTTGAAGAACTAAACTATATATGGGATGATATTCACATACAAAATGCAAACGAGCTAAACTGTAGAGTTAAGAATACAGGCATGCAATGGGCATTCCAGTGCATCTGTTCTGCTCATTACTAACTAATTAGTATGAAAAGGGAGACAATACGATTTACTTTGCAATATTGAACTGATGTCATCGACTGGCCATGTTAGCAGGAAGCAGACTTAAGAAGCGAGATAAAGCGCCAAAAAAAGAGAACAAATAATATCTACCATTTTTCCAATTTCTGCATAACTAATAAATCAAATTTATCATCACACCATAAGAAAAATAAATTCCAACACGTACATTCACAAGAAGGGAGTAAAACCAAAGGTGTTACTCATTTTGCAGCAGATGAACAGATAAACAGAAGAGTGCTAACCGTCTGCTCAAAATACTACCGACACTTGTTTTATTACATTTAATACTGGAACTTATATAAACATTACAGAACAAAAAAGAGAGCCATAGGGACTCATGACTGAGTCCGTTGCCGATTTGTGACTTGCCGGTTCGCTAAGCACGAGCCCAAACCTCTGCTACCTCCAGATCATATGATCAGTATGTATGATAATTGCACTTGGTGTAGTTGCAGCAGCCATTGACTGAGCTCAGACTAACTGTTTGAGTTTTGGAGGAGGTTTGAGGCAAATCCTCACTCCATGTCCAATGCTTTTAAGCCCCATATTTTGGATAATGGGGTCTTAAAATCAGTGGAGAGATTAACCCGCTGGCTATTGGCTTTAAATACTTGATCAGCAAGTGAGGGATATGCTCTGTAGTTGAAAACTTGACAACCCGTCTACTCCTCCACTAACGTAAAAAATTATGCCACATGCTTTTACTTTGAAAAAAAAGAATAACTAATGAAAAATATTTGAAAATTTTGAGTTTTAATGATAAAGATAAAATAAAGGGTAAAGTGAATAGTATCAAGAATGACTTTTTAATGTAAAAATATGATTTTTTGTTAAAGTGAACAATACCGAGAGTTTTTCGTTAAAGCTCCCTTTAAAAATTTCACCATCAAAAGTAAACAGAAAAAGTCTCACCAGATTACCATCTTGCCCTTTCACCTAATGTCCATGCAGTTCTGCAGAACACAAACATTTTTCTGGTTCCTCAGACTGCATATGGAAAAATTTACGACGAGGGGCTTGTTGAAAATTATGAAATCTCACAGGATTATTAGTGTAAGAGAAACATTAAAAAGGCAGCTAAACTACCTTTTTTAGTGCATTACTTTTCTAATTATTGGGGGTTTTTAATACTTTTTATGTAGCACAGTGGATCCACTCAGTTATCACTCATGCTCATCTACTCCTTTTTCCAACTCAAATCCCTCTAATTAGCCGCTAATCTCCTGTGCAACTAACACTGAAGCCCAAACTGGTTAAACCTAGCGCTAGCTAGCTTAGCTAACTCCATCGGTCACAGCTTGTTATCAAATTGTGTGTGTTTTTGGAGGACTTCGACACTGTGGCCATTATTGACAAGCAATGGACCGTGTCATTGCATTTGCATGTGTGGACATCTGCTTTGAAGTGGAAAGTGGGGCATTAAACTTTTATGAGCTGCAATTGTAGTGGTATTTCAAATTAATTACACACTGTAACAATATTTTAAGATAATTGGGAATTATTCCCTTGACGACTCTAATGATTTTTCTTTCACCCAAAAAGAAGTGGTACGTGCTTAGACTCTCCACCAAGGCTTCATCTTATTGGATGTTTCTTTATGCACTACAAAGAAAGAAAGCAAGAATCAGTACTTGATGTGCAATCTCACTTCTGCTTTATCTGTTTATTTCATTTGTTCATTGATGCTATAACATCATGAAATTAATCAACCTTCTTACGCCGAAACAGATTGCAGATTTTGATCCCTATTTCGACCATTTTTGTCTTGTTTTGTCTTGCCAATGTTGTGCAAGAACAAGCAAACCTAGGTAAGTGAGGCACAACAGTACAAGGTAGATGATAAGAAAAATCAACTTAATTTAGTCACATGAAATGATAAAAGTGTTGTGTAATGCTTGCTCTTAGTTGTCTTCCACCTCGTATTGGTGATAGAAAATCCCATATGAAATGATAACCTCTATCATTGAATCAATTTCTGTGAAACGAAATAAATTATTACCAGCACTTCAGAATAGTCGATTTTTACTTTCCTATCTTTTATTTTGTTCAACCTCAAAGGTGACTGAAGTTGTGACCTTTCTGTTCAAATTACGAGAGTTCCAATCCAAAGACATCCATCTATGTTGATGAGGGGCGTTCTCTATCTAGTGCACATGACATGTTATATGCACATTTAGCTTATAACCATTAGTAAAGGAGAGAAGATGAACCCTGCCAACGACTCAATGAAGGGAGGAGAGAGGAAAGAAAACAGACAGCGACTCACGGTAAATTTTCTACCGGGTTTCCAATTCGGGTTTCATTGACTAGAATGTAATTTAAGCTAAAGATTCATCTCATCCGTTGATTTAAACCTTACAATTACTGTTTATATGTGTATTTAATATGCATATCTAGAAATGTGCACCAGAGAAAAATTGATTGATGTTGGAACCGAACCGGGGATTTTAAACTTATGGGACAACAACAATAGCACAGCCCAAAGTGAAGTAAGGGAAACTCACTTTTCTTGGGCCAGTTCACATTAGTGACAACAACAAATCAACAAAACTCAACAGATGTTTATTATTTTCTTTCTAAGAAATGCCAAAGAGACTTTCGTAAAATGAGATTTTCCATAGATTATCTACACCTAAGAGTCTAAAGACCATCTTCAAAGAATATGTTAAATTATAAGAGTCAAATTACAATTGATGACTGATGTGGCAATCTGAAATCTTGTGTCAAATTTTGTACTTTTTTCGATCGAATTGTCAAATATTATTTTATTATTTAAAAAGAACTTTAAATGTTTGTAGTTATTAAAAAAATGTTAAAACAAAATTTTAATTGGTTGAAATGTTAGTGGAATAAGGGACTCACTATTAAAATGAATTAAAAATAATTTGACATTGATGTCAAATTTGATTCCAAATTACAAAGCCTTCAAATCTAGTTAGCAAATAACAATTCGATTGGAGAGACTTTTGATGTCAAATATGCACAATGGCATTCCACCTAGGATTTTGACATTTCCTCCAGAGATGCTCTAAGGTTATTGTTACAAATTTCATGCCAAAAACACGAGGTGACAGAGAGTCCAAAGAGAATCTCCCTTTTGAAAGTCTCCTTAGCATTTCTCTTTCTTGTATGGCTCTTCGTCGCATTTGTCGAAGAATTCTATGCATTTATTTATAGGAAAACTAATGAAAAAAAACTTAAAAACTTTGAGTTTTAATCAAAATGACAAAAATGAGTTGTACGTGAATAGTACCATGAGTGACTTTTTAAAGTAAAAATGTCATTTTAGTTAAAAGTGAACAGTACTGGGAGTGTTTCGTTAAAACTTCCTTTATTTATTGGCATTTGGAATAAGAAGTAGGATTATCTCCCTTCTAAATTTCATCTCCTCCTCTCTCACTTTTCTCCGTCTTTTTTTCTATAAAAAAAGTCAACACAAAATATTGACGTAACCTTATTGTGAGCATTCAAATAAGAAAGACTAAAGGGGAGGGAAATTTGTAACAGAGAGAATCCTACTCCTTACAATAATGGGCACCACCTCGAGCAAGAATTAGTAGACAAAATCACCGCCCAATGTGACTACTAATATTAATTAACATATCGAATGTTGCCGACTGACATTGCTCAGATTCGTATTCGTATTGCTCTGCCATTTAGATTAATAGTAAGCAACAATTTCACGCGTAAAATTGCTGACAAAATTATCATCCAATTTTTTAGAGCCGTTTAAGGTGTTAAGTGTCGTTTTAATTAAGTTTGACTTTGTTAACGACATCCTTTGTTCTTTAATTTTCTGCTAAGCAATGATATAATCTGATATAATTATTAATTATGCAGCACAGATCAGAAAAGAGAATTTACAGATAAACTAATAGATTATACTCCCAACAAGTTATTCAAATATATCCTGATGAAGATAATGGGGAATTCATGTTCCCCATCGATATGAATAATGAATAGCAGGATAGCATGATCAGCCATCAGACATCTTCCAAGTTGATTGCAGTTCCATTTTTGTCTCCCAAATGCCTTTTGAAAAACAATACTTTACCCCAAAATACCTCCATTCTTTTGACCAGAAAAAGAAAGACTAGCTTATTTCCTGGGACTAAAACTAAATGCTCTTCGCTCCACTTACTCTTCATTTTCTAGGTATTTTTTTAGCATCATGGCTTATGCACCAGAAAATTAAAAAATTAAAAAAAAAATAAGGTGGGCAAAGTTTTCTCTTCCTAATTAATAACCTTCGTTATATTATTTTACGATCCTATTTACTCATGAGTAAAACATAACAAGAGTACATGCACAAAGAATG